TGGGCAAGAGAAGCCTGGGTTATGCAGAGTGAGTTGAGAAAGAAACAACTCATTTTGTGAACTGGAAAAATGCAAATGGCACTTGCAGACCAGTCTACTGAAAATCTCGCCTATCAGAGACTAGAGAAATAGTGTGATACGTGAAGAGTATTTAGTTCATTTACAGTTAACTTAATTACTGATATAACTGGGTTTACATCTACTGTTGCTATTTTTGCTTTTTCAGCTTGTCTCTCTATTCTGTTTCTATTCCTTTCCTTTCTTACCTCCTTTCAATTAACTAGATTTACGATCCCACTTAACTTGGTAGTTATTAATTCTTATACTGTTCTTTTAGTGCTTACCAAAAATATTACATGCATTTAGACTTACTACAGTTGATTATAAATTAGTATTTATACTATTTTATGGAAATGACGGCATCCAATTTAGCCACGTCTTAAGTAATATGTTTGTGTTGTCATATATTTTAATTCTATACAGACTGCAAATCCTCTGACATTTCAAACATATAACCTGGCAATGTTTTCTGTCTTCCAGAAGAATGCTATTTAATTGGAGGTCTGCTGGTGATGAATTTTCCAGTTATCATTGGCAAATATCTTTATCCCTCCTTAATATTTTAAGAATACTTTTCCTGGATATAGAATTCTAGGTTGGGTAGTTGTTTTCTTTCAGAACATTAAGTGTATCTTTTTTGCTTTCTTTGGCTTCTGTTGAAACAATGAGACCGTTAGCTAACTTCTCAGTAGAAGTTGTTCCTTTGTGCTTTATTCTGCGTATATTCTTCTGAGATACTTCCAGCTGTGTAGTTTAATAACAAACTCCAGAAAGTACTTAATTTCAATAATGTTTTCAGTTCTGGTGTCCACTTGATCACTTCTATAGTTTCCTGTTTATCCTGAAATGCTTAAACTCATCTTACACTTTTTGATCATATCAGTCCTAGTCATCTTAAAGTCCATCCTCTATCAGGAGCCCCTATAGGTGTCTTTCATCTGCTCTTTCTACAATTTGTGTTTCTGTTAGAAGGATAAGGGCACTAATCCTAGGGCATCTTAATCTATTCAGTGCGAAAATGGTTGTAAAGCAAACTACAGTCATTGTGAAGGCTGGTCTTTTTGTCACTCATTCTAATTCCCAAGGTTACTCTTCAAGATCCTAACTCATGGTTTATCAGGACCTCCTCCTTCATGGGGTCTGAACTCATGAGCATGCTGAAATTTCTGCTCCACTGCCCATCCCTCTCAGATGGAAGGGACCCCGATGTTGGGTTCATCTTCTGCTGGATTTTAGCCCCATTATTCTTCACTGCCTTGCAAGCTCTCTGAAGTATTCAAAAAGGCATTTATATATACTTCACCTTTTCTATTTTTCTCAATAAAAGAATTGGTACTAATGAACTAGTCTGCCAAAAAAAAACCAAAACAAAGGACCATCCACAATGGAAAAGGAAGGAGATATGAGGGATGAGTTGTTTCTGTTATTATTTTTTAGGTGTAAGATACCAGTTTAAGTGTGAATGCTGCTGAGGGTAGAGTCAAGCAGGGAGAAAGAAAGCTGAAGATAAAGAAAAAGAGGAATAACTGATAGATACATTTACCTTATAAGCCGTCTATCCTAAAAGTTAGGTATATCTAGCTTACAGGGGCCAGCAGAGAAATTGAACTTTATGAAGGATAAGACTGAATGTTCAATCAGGTTCTTTTTTTTTTTTTTGATGGAAGCATTCTCTGTACACTGTAGCAGAACAAGCCAGTTTTTGTTCTCTTCTGGGAATCTGTGTATGCAGGAACCCAAATGTGGGTGTATGTGGGGGAAGGGAGACTTCACACACTGGGCTTTACAGATCTCAAAGAAAAAAGCAGTGTTATATTTTAAATACTTGTCTCTATTTCAGGAGTTCTGATTGTCACAGCATATTTACTTTGCTATATTGGAGGAGGAGTCCAAGGGACTGAATGGCACACAATCGTGTGAGACTTCATTTTGAACAAAGAGTAAAATTTGGAGCATGAAATAAGATTAATTATTTTAGTCATGTGTCTTGAATCTCTTTTGGAAATGAGAGCTGTTAATCTTTGATTTCCTTTTATGAAAGGAAAGTGAATGATACTCTCTTCCAAAATGGCAAAGATGTTAACAATGCCCTTTCAAAGGCTGTTAAGCACTAAAACTAAATGGAGGCAGGGTGAGGTAGAAAAGATTATGGACTTTGAAGGTTAGTCTATCTCTATAGCCCCAACCTTAGAATAATTGTATATTATGATTTACAGTAAACAAAGAGTTATCATAAAATAGGTAGCTCTTGGATTTGCCCTAGAATTGACCCAAGAAGCAGAGGAGAATCAGATCCCCAGAACAGGTTTGAATGGACAGTAGAAGGAAACAATATAGTTGATTTCTGATGGCACCTCATGGTCCTGCTTGTTACCAAAAAGTTTCCATGCCTGTAGATATCCAGGTGACCTTATGAAAAAGACAGGATGCTGGAGCTCTGAGGAGAGATCTGGTAAGAGATTCAGCTGTGTTGTAAATTATCTGCATATAGACTTGGCATTATGTACCATGAGATCACCTAGGAAGAATGTAGATTACAAGAAAAGAGAGTTGAGGCCAAAGTCTTTGGGATGAGAACAGAGCTAGTCAGAAGTCTGGCACAGGGAGGAGGATCCAGTATTAAAGGCTGAACAGGAACAGCCAATGAGGCAAAAAGAACACGAAAAGGAATCAAACGTTCCCAGAGCCCAAAGATGAATGTGTTTCCCAAGGGTGAGAATAGTCAGTGGAGTCAAATGCTACTGTGAAGTAACTGCCTGCTAGATACTAGCCTCCTGGGGGGAGACTGGACCTCCCCTGCTATGACTAGCCCTGCCTGGACTTGCCTTGCCCATATCTGTAATCTCCCTTTTTCCCAATCTAAAAGCATATTTGTCTTTGATATCCTGAGGTGGAAAGAGGAAACTCCCTTGAAGGCACACAGTTCTTGTGACTGACTTTTTCTCTTCTCCTTTTCTAAGGCAAATTCTTGGGAAGAGAATTTTTTCTCCCTAACCCACTGCAGTCAGGTCAGGTTATCTGTTTCTGCTATACGTGTGGATTTTGTGATCATACCCAGATTGTCCAGGAAGATAGGATGAAAAATGCAACAGGCCGCCAACATTTAATGGGACATGGTAACATCTACCTAATAAGGCTCCTCTGTGGATTAAAGTAAGTATCATATGTAGACTAATAATTACAGGGTCTGGTACATAGTTTCATATACTAAATTTCATCCCCTTGACCCATTTTATCCTAATTTAAGTAATTTGCCTGGGGTCATGTAGCTGATAAGTAAGTACCTATTCAGACTCAGGTCTGCTTGGCTAAAAAAGCATATTTCTAACCTTCCACTACTCCAGAATTCCTTCCCAGTGCTTCTGCCCTCAGTGTTGTGCCGACCTGCAAACAACCTGCCCCTGGAAACCGCTGTCCTTGACCCGTTTTCCAGGTTCACATCTCAGACTTCACCCATCTAATCCACGTCTACTCCACACATCAGCCTTCTCTGACTGTCCATCCCACTTGTCCCCAGAACCCACACTGTCAGCCCTTAGAGAAGGGTGCAGGACAGAAGAGAGGTGGACACAAGAACTATTAAGTAAGATCTACAAGCATCGTTTGCTGAGTTCACAGGAATGGAGCACATAGATATCACTTCAATGAAAGAATGCTTGTGGCGCTCAGAAATTAAAGAATGAGTCAATACGTGTGGTCAATATACTAGAGGATTTCCAAGTTTCTAATAAGATCTCCAATAAGCTCAGCTCCAAGTTCAGTATCTCATTTGAAACTTTGCTTTGTAATTTAAGAGATGCCCAGTAGGTGGCGTATCTTACTCATAGATGGCTTTCCAGGCCCCCACCATGAAATAGTAGTTTGAATCATAAAATTCTTGTTAAGGCAGAAAGAGATTGAGAAACAATTTAGACCAACCTCCTCCGTTTCCAAAATATGAAAATGAGGATTAAATATTATAACATTTACAAGAGAAGAGCCAGCATTTAAACCTGGTGGTTAATATTCACCTGAAATCCTTCTGTTTTAAACTAGTTACCAGCCTTCAACTTTGGGTAACGCTCCCTAAGAAGGCCATGCAACAGCACTAAGTAGCTAGCCCTGGGTTAGGAAGGTGTAAGGATACTCAGGAAAACTTGTCTCTTATGAGATGATCACATTCTTAGAATGATATCCTGTTGGACCATTTATAAAGTATTAAGAAATCCCAATTTTTAAAAAAGGACATTTAAAGTGAGAAGAAATCCACACCTTTCACCTTCTTGACTTTCTCCCACCACCTTCTGCTTTTTCTTCTACAACAAAATCTCACTTGCCAAGGATATGTTCAGGTTGTAAATTAGAAGAAAGCCAGCTTCCCAGGGCTTCCTTCCCTGGCTGCCCCAATACCTGTAGTTTTCAAGGAATTTCAAGGCCATCATACCATGTCCACTTTTAAAAGATATCCTAGGGAGAAATTCACATCCACTCAGTTATGGGCAAAATAGTTACTGAAAACTTACTATGTGCCAGAGAAAGAGCTGTAGAAATGGAAGACAAGGCCAACAGCTCTCACAAAGTTTTGCTTTACTGCAGGAGGAGACAGAAAAGAAACAAGATAATTTCAGACACTGGGAAGTATTGGATTTGAGAGTGGCTGGGGGGAAGATGGGGTTGTGGGCTATTATCAAGGCTTCATCAAGCAAGCTTGTCTGAGAAGATGGTATTTAAGATAAAACAAAGATCTGGGAGAATGATTTCAGCAGAGGAAACAGCTAATACCAAGGACCGGAGCAGGGAGCTTGAAGCTACTATCAATCACTATATCCTTAATAAGTACTGGGTAGTTCATCCTGTTGGTATAAAGAACCTTGCTACCTGGTATAAAGAAAAGTACTGAAGGCACTCAGGTGTAAATGAGGGGAAGGAGAGGGATCATCCTGGAACACGTCAGGTGTGTCCTCTTTCCCTGGTGTGGAAGCTGTGGACAGTCGGGTCCGGCAGTGTGGCACCGGTCTGTGCGGAGATGCCAGGAGAGGAGGAGGGCGTAACAGGGAAGCAGAAAAGACTTGCTAAAGGGACAGACTGAGGGCACAAAATGCAAAATGTAGGTACTTAAAAGAACTTGTAAAATAGCCTGCTTCTCTCCCTCTCAGTGTTTCTCAAAATGTGGTCTGCAAACCACAAATTAGAATAACTCAGGCACCTGTCAGATTCCCCTAGGCATCAATCTGTTCTTCCAAGTCTGAATTTATGGGATGGGGCTCAGATATATGGATATAGTAAGTACACACACACACACACACACACACACACACACACACACACACACACGAATGTTATACACGCTAAAGGTGAGAACTGATGCTCCGCAGAATTTGGATTTTTGCATTTTACTTAGTTCTTCAGATAGCCTTCTACCTTCTCCTAGCAGAAGCTCAGTTCTTCAAAGTAGGAAGAGGCTAAAACAGCTCTGAGAGAAAAAGGGAAGATTAATGCATGGCAAAGTCCTGCAAAACATTAGGGAGCTTTAAAGAGATCTTTAATAGTTCTTGCTATAAAAACAACATAGGTCTTTGGTAATTTGTGATTTTTTAAATCTATAATATACAAAGGAGCACCTTTCTCTCTGAGTAAACAAAGGACATGAGGCTTTCTCCAAGGGTACAGTATTAATTTTCCTATGGAGGTTGTAGTTCTGTGGCCAATAATGTGCTCTCTCTAAATCTCAAGAGCACTGAACTCTCACCTCTTCCTGTTCTCAGGGACACAATAGGAAGACAATTGCATTAGTGAAACTGTGGACTAGGAGGACGTGATTCCAGCTCCTGCAGTACACAACAGTGAGGACACACCAAATGCATTTGGAACGGTGAAGAAAATGAGTATGTTCCTCATGTCCACTGGTATACTTGTATTCGACTTAGAAAACTATGGCCAAAAAAGCAAGAGTAAATTTAAATTTCTTATCCAACCTCCTCCCATCTGTAATTAGGTACTGAGTCTTGATCTTTTGGGTTTGTTTTTACTAACCCTTCCAGTGACCCAAACCTAATAAGCAAACAAAAGGAGCAGGAGTATCTGGTTGCCTGATACAGCCTGATACATTTAATATTTGATTTCTTTCTTATTTTTCACCATCAATGATTTGAAGAGAAAGCACATGACTTCTCTCTCCCACAAATTCTTCCAGCAGCAACAGCAGCAGTAGTGGTGGCAGAGGGGCCTTTGGGAAGACGTTTCAGAAGCCTGACAATCCTTGCTTAAAGACTGTTCAACCGCTGTTCACACTCTTCAAATGCTTTAACCAAAATGTCAGAGGCTTCATCAGAGTGGAAATTATTCTATGAATCCAAAATACATTATTTTTCCTTAGAATAGACTTATCTCCTTATTTTAGTAAAATGTCTGCCGAATCAGCAAAAGGAGAATCTAAGTTTGTGCATTTGTTCTTCACAAGGAATTCTCAGGTACAAGCTTAAAAATGGACAATTAAGGCAAATTATTCATGAAGTACCTATAGCATTTGCATTTTTCCCTCTGGGATACAGCTGTCATCATCATTTACATGGAGGGTATTTGCTTGCAGATCTACCCTTTTACCTCAGAACTAAGATAATGTTTCCACTTAAACTGAGTCATGCTTGTCCTAAATATTGCATAGCTGGACTGCCATCTCCTGTTTCCTTGGGCCAAACACAATGACAGAGCAAACTGGGCTGTGGCCCCCAGTTCTCTCTGTGTACTCACTGCCATTGTGTGTGGTAGTCAGATCTATCTGTTATACTGCAAGGAATTATAATAGTGAATGAGTTGCACAAAATTCTACCCAAGAAATTTTACAGTGAAAAGCTTGTAAATGGAGTGCCAGCTCCAGCTATGAAAAATGTGCTCTGAAAGCACAGGAGGAACATTTGCAACTTGAAACTTTTCATCAGAAATTGAGAGAACTCAAGGTCAATTTAATATTAATTCTCCCCGAGCTCTTTCATCTAATAGATATCCAGCTGCATTTGAATCTGGTAAAGAGATAAGAATTTAGGTCAGTTTAGCCTTCAAAGGACAAATTTCTTGAGAAATATTCTGTATCCATCTATTTAGTTTTGAGTATCATTAGGTTATTTTAAGGTGAAAATGACCAAAACTTGCCTTTTTCATAGAAAGGGAAATTCATTTCTGGTAAGTTGAAATTGCTTTTGAATAATTTATAGGGAACAGAGAATTCATCAGATCTGATATCATCAGCAGCCATGAGGTTGCCCTGTTCTGTAATGAGTGCTGTGGGAGCTGGAGAGCTGGAGTTGGTTAGCGTGAGAATTTCTATCCAGAATCTCATACAGGTTTAAGGCTGGCAACATTTAACAAATGCAAAGCCTGGGTCAAAACTGGGTCAGAAGGAACCTTTTAAAAAACAGCCTTACTGTAAAGGAAATTCTCTAGACTCCCAGCCCAACGCTGATATCCATTCCCCATAGTTCCTAGCCAGTATGCAGGGACTCATAATATGGAAGACCTTTTCATTGGTGGGGAGATGATGATGACAGGAACAAAATAAAGTAATAAAGCCAAATAAAATGAAAAAAAGATGAATCCAAATAAAGCGAGAAATAAACCTTCAGTTCACTACTGATCAATTCCCTATTTCTTCTACTCAAATATTAGAAGTCTTTCTCCCACTCTTTTAGGCCTGTTGCTGAATCACTCTGCCTTGAATCCAATCCTGAATTTTAAAGTATATAATCTTGTACCTCCCCAATATCCCATATTTAGTCTTCTTCCTGTTCATTAATTTTAAATGCTCTTATTAACCATCTTTTTGTGTGCAAGGGACACAGCTAATCATTTATCTAGAAGCCAAGTTGAATAAGACAAAGTTCCTACTCTCATAATGAGTGGTGTCTGAACTTAGACTTCTGGCATGGGTAAGATTTCTGCACATAGAATGTGGGGAAGAAATTCTGAGATTGGAGCAGCAGTGTAAGGAAAGGCTGGGCAGGAATGTGTTGCTACTCAACCAGGGAACCATGGTGGATCAATCTGACTGTATCATGGGGTATTTGGAGAAGGGTAATGGAGGCTTAGGCGGTAAACACGGAACAAAGCCAAATGCTAACAAATCTTAAAGTCACGATAAAGAGCTGTACCCTATTTGGGTGTCAATGAAGAACCACCCAAAAGCATGACTGAAAGATAAATGAAGCTATTCCTTAGGACTCTGGGCACGTGTTGGGAGACTGGATGGTAGAGTGAGCTAGGAAGCCTTGCATTAATTCAGGCAGAGGTAAGAGGCTAAATTTGGGTGATGGCACTAAGAATCAGGGAGAGAAAATCAATTTCAGAATTATTTTAAGGATTCACCTGCTATTCCAAACTTTTTATTGCTGCCCTGGACCGTTTTCTCCAGTCTTCTGTCCTCTATCCCACTGTAAACACCCTTCCTTACAGTTCCTTGAGCAACCTCTCCAGCCCTAGATATGGAAGTTCTTCACCTGGAATTCAGAGATCCCCAAGAATAGATTATAAAGGTTCTTGATCTTGGATGGGAAAAAAGTCACATCTTTATTTTCACTAACCTCTAACTGATTTAAAATATTCCTCAATTACAATAAAGGGAACAAACCACTAAAAAATTAACTGTTCTGTCAATTTTTAATGACAGAAATTAAAGATATGTTGTCATATTGTTATCAGCTATTGTTATTGTCCATATATTAAAATACAGTTTCTATTCATAACTATTTCAAATTTCAGGTAGCAGTTAGTCCCATGACCAGACCCTATTGCTTAATACGTTATTAAAGAAGGAGATGCTCATATCACACATTTTTATGTAATATTGTGATAATGGTATTTCAGTATAATTGGTTTTCTTTGTAATCCAATGTATTTTGATTTATGTATGTAAAAATGTTATTCTAAAAAAAGATTTATATATATAGCTTCTGCAGACTGCCAAACATCAAGAAGCCTTGTAAAGATCTAGGTCATCACCTGAGGTCGTGGCCTGACACAATTTTCTGACCATCTCCAAGGTCTAGCTCTATACCCTTGAGAGAAAACAGTCCACCTCTCACTCCTTCTAAAGACAGCCTTGCCTTTGTTCATCACCTGTAGACAAGGGAAGGAGAGATAGCCCCTCACATGCCACCTCACTGCTGGTTTCACCTCCCCCTCCCCCTTATTTTGTTTCACTTGTTCTATTTTATGAACCTTCTTCTGAGAGGCCTTTAGAATGCCAGCGCTTCTGTAATCAAGCATAATCTCAATCTCCCTTTTGTCCTTTTTTTTTCCTGGAGAATTTTTTCTATACTAAGTAAAACGTTATACTCTTCCTGGATCTAATCAGTTTGCTGTTGCTGCATACCAGAAGCCAACAACTTTTAAAGATGAATGCCAAGTGTCCATTGATTCATTTCCTTATTAAGTGGGAGCAGGAGGTGAAAGAGGAGTTACCTGCTGGTAATTAATGCCTGCGTGAGGCACCTCAGCAAGCGTGTTGACCATACAGTGATGTGGGAGAGAAATTAGGAAGGAAACTGTTGACTAAGGAATAAAAAGAGTGTATATTTAGGGGACAAGGAGTACACCAAAAATAATCTAGATTTGACCCTGACTGCCCCCACTGAATGATCTTCTGTATTCAGAATCTTGGCACATGTACATAAATTGATAACCTCTGTTACATAACTTCTCAAAGGGCACAGGCTTAGGCCACAAACTAAAAACGAAAGCACAATAAATATTTTCCTTGTTGACCTTGTGATGAAACTAGGATAACTAACAGATTTTGTTTTCATTAAAGTTTCTTTCAGTGTACCTCACTTCCTGTGACTAAGCGATGGCACTGGTGACAGAGAAACTACTATGCATACTGTAGAACTTAGTGGAGATTTCAGTACAGTTTTGTTTTGTTGGGCCTTTTTTCCTTTTAACATAGACATCAAATGACTAATGAAAAGAATTAGTTGGAAAATTATACACAGAATTTTCACCAATATTCTCTCCCACTCCTGGAAGTAAATAATGAGGTTTCAGGGGTTGTTTCTGAAAATCTGTAACTTGACAGTTTCAATAATAATCAAGAAAATAGGAATAGAAAGTTTGATCAATAAGATTGGAGCCACAGATGCAACAATGTCTAGTATCACAAAAGGTAGGCTTAGAATTTAAATGACTTTTATAATTTGAAGTAGTTGGTGGCTACGGAAAAATAAATACTGAGGGAAGAGGAGCCCAATGTATATTTGTGTGAGACTACAAATGTCAGGGGGTCAGAGTGAACCACAAGCACCCAGAGAGCAAAACTAAAATGGCAAATGCAAAAATGTTCACTCTTCGGCCACTGTGAAGTCATTGTTTCAGTAGGGACAGAACCAGGGGTTCTTTACCTGAGTCCTATCCCCAGGAAGACACGAAGGAGGGTAACTGTCACAAGAAAGGTCAAAATTCATATAGTATAAACAATTACACACACACAGCAAAAGTACAAGGGACATAACATATTACATTTGGAAAAAAAGAAGATTGTCAGAGTTAAGGTATTAGGGTATATGGACCAGCACTGCCCTGTGGTGGTATTCAGTGTGAACAGCAAAATGTTTTTAAAGGACAATGTATGAAGTTGTTAATAAGTAATTTTTTCCCAACTTAGTAGTTTATCCTTTCTTTTGCAATAACATCCTTCCTAATTTTCTATTATTAAATTGTCTTTCATTTAAAAAAATACAAATAACAGAGTTTTTTCTTAAACACTTCTCTTTGGGAAAATTTTTTTTAAAAAAGAAGGGAAAAGTATATCCAATCTCTCTCATTTATTTTAATTTTCTACTCTTTGAATAGGTAGTTCAGATTAGTGATCCCTGACCTTATTACATAAATCTTTCAGAAACAATTTTAACATATATCTCCCATACATGGGACTTTATTTATAAATTACATTCATATGCTGCTC